TGTTGTTTTCGTCTTTTGCTTTTTTTTTTTTAAAGCATTGGGCTAGGAGCCCCAAGGAACCATATAATATGAAAAACCCTGAGACGTTTTACTAGCCAATAAAAAAAACTGAGTTCCTATTAACCACTTCTTGATGAAGTTCCACCCTGACTTGGATCCTTCTCTCCCTTCAGGCCCATGAGGAATGAAAGTTGGTCCATCAGTCTCTCCCTGCACAACCTGAGTTCACGGTGTGTCCCAGAAGTGCTGGTTGAGAAGTATACTCAGTGCTAATCTCTGCATTTCTCATCTGTGAAACCACTAATAAGATCTCGATAAGGAGTCAGATTTTTCTATGCCCAAAGCCACGCCCAGAAAGACTCCTGAAGCACACTGCTAAGAAGGAGAAACGTCACTGTGATTTTCAAGATTTCAATATTAAACGACTGTGAGAGAAAACTAGAAAAGGGCTAAGGCATTACTGGAATATGTCATGATTCCCACGAAAGGTTCCTCTCGTTTCGGGGCAGAAGAAGAGAGAGAAACTCACAGAGAAACAGAAAGTGAAACTGGCCAGAGTTGTTGCACTGTCAGAGATGGATGGAGTTACACAAAAATAAACGACCTACTTTAGGAAGGAAAGGATGTCAAAGATTTAAATCATAAAACTGTTGTATTAAGGCTCCCGAGATTGTGTGTGTCATGTGGCTGTGTGTGTGTTTGCTTTTTGCTGGTTTTAAATAATAAATTTGCACATTTATATCAATCCATCATCTGATTGTGTTTGGGGGGTTCCTGGTACCCTCATCTCTCCAGAGACCCCTTCAGCTCTGCCACTACATCCTGTATCTTCTAACTCCACTGGTCCCACTGCATCTTATTTCCACCCCCTCATCCGGGCTAAGTCTGGTACTTTTGCTTCTCCGGGAGAAATGTCCCAAGACAGAAGGAGTACAAGACCACTTGAGACCTGGCTGTGGATTCTGTGCTCTGGTTTCGTTTGATGTTAAGGAGACAAAACTATTTCTTGAGGGGCTTGTGTGGAAGAATTTTTGTTCCCCCAGCCCCATTGTTTTAAAAAAATATTTTGCTAGATGGTTTTGGTTTCTTTATAAGGCTGACAGGCGGGGGAAGGGAGGGGAGGATTTTTCCCTTCCTATTGGCTGTGGACTGACACGGGATGACCTGGGACGAACACTCAGCCACCATGATGTGAACTACCTTTGCAATGCTAAATCATAAAGCCTATTTTTTAGAAAACTCCACTAAATGTTCAAGATATCATTGCAACAACATAATAAGAAAACAAAATTAAAACAAGTTTTAGTAAAAGTTCAGTAAGTTTCCAGAAACTTGATCCCTCCGCTTTCTAAGTGGGTTGAGCGCGTCAGGACAGCAGGGCCCGTTGAATCCCCTAAACACTTCCAAATAAAAATATTACAAAAATTAATAATAACCCTTTCTTAAATGTCAGTGTCACCGTACTCCTGACATCTCAGGGGCGTCCAGTGTCCCCTGTTTCTTCTAAATAACCTATTTGAAGAAGAGTAACTGCTGCTTCAAGACTTGTGGGTGAAGATGTGTGTTTTTGCAGAATTTGCAGGGATAATAACATCTGGCAAATAGATGCTGTGTCAAGGGGCACCTGTGTGCTTGGTGAGACTCGGCTTTCCCTGTGGCTGCCCTGGTACCTCTTCCCATTCCTCCATCCTCCTCCCTCCCTCTCCACCTCCCTCCCTTCCTGCGGGCAGGCACCCATCACACACACACACACACACACACACACACACACACACACCCTGCCTGGTATAGGACCCTTTACATCTGCAGTGGATCCTTTTCTTCGCTAAATTTTGATAAACTACTTTTTTAAAAACTTCACTTCCAAGCCCTCTGGATAGAAGGCTACAGCTGTGAAGTCCCTCATGGGTCACAAAGAGGGTGCGCAGGAAGGGTGGCGGGGAGGAGGGAGATTCCCTTGCCTTTGCTCAGAGCTCATCATTTAAATAAGAGAGCATCACCGCTCCATGTATTGGTTACTACCTGGCCTTACTTAAGCATCTTCCTCTGGCCCGAGGAGGGAGCCAAGAAAGGAAGAGATGAGGTGGTGGAGAAGGACTCAGAGTAACCCGGGGTACCCAGCGCCGGTGTGCAGGCTGGCTGCCCCCTCGGCCTGCTCATCGTCTGCACCGACATCCGGCCAGCTCAGGCCTTGCAGACTCTCCCATGAAGGCATCCTCCCCGGGCCCTTAGGACCTGACTTGAGCAAATGCATGAGTTTGCTGGGGGTCTCCCAGGGTAGCTGGCTCACTGAAATGGGGAAGTCAGTTGAGCATCCCCAGAAAAACTTAAGAGACTACAAGACAGCAGTCTTATCATAAACTCCCCCTACCCCGGCCAAAACAAAAACAAAAACCCTTGTTTCCTAGGACTGCTCTCTAAAGTGGCTTTAAATAAGTGGGACAGAGATTTAACTCGGGTTGCCTACTATTAACCTGATCATCCGGGTGGGGTTACATCATCAACCATCTCTCCCGTGGCTCTGGGCCGTGTCAGTACCATTCACCACCCGTTTCCAGAGGGGAAAAAAAATCTGAAAATCAGCTCCTGAAGATCAGTGGGCCCTGCTCCCCCGGCTGTGAACGAGGGCCTCCTCTACCTCCCCGCCTGCCTTTTCAGACTGTTCTCAAATCCCATAAATATAAACATGTGGCTCTTCAACCGCATCTGTAGATAATAACTTCAGGGGGCTTCCTGTTTACACGGCGATACCCATTTCCCAGCCAAATAAACTCTGCAGTGGAGAGTCGAGGTGTTTATTGGGCCAGTCTCGGCCGGGACTGAGTTAACAGGAAACACCCACTCTCCGAGAAATGTCTGATGATTAAATATTTGGGGGGCGGGGAGGCACAAAGGTCAAAAACACTGGAGACACTGCTTTCTTCTCCCGCCTGCCGTTTCCAGTGAGAAACAGAAGCAGCCATGATACACACGGCCAAGCCCCCAGCTGTGCTGCTCGCTGGCTGCAGGGCCCGCGAGGCGGGAGGAGGGAGGAAGTGCAGACGGGAGAGCCGGGAGCCTCCCTGACGACATATGCAAGCCTCCAGGAGCTGTCAGGTGAAGGGATGGGAGAGGCGGATGGG